GAGCCAGGCTTTCCGGGCTTCCTGACAGGAGAAGGCCCCCAGCCCTGGATCCTGCTGACCAGCTAGCTCAGCCACCATCTCCAGGACGTAGGACAGCTCTGAACGCAGCCACTGCAGGGGCACCTCAGTGCCCGAGTACTGTAGAGCTGAGAAGATCTCTTCTGGGCTGGCACCTGCAGCTTCCCCTTCCTAAAGAACAGACACACCCAGACACCAGCAGAGGAACACCAGGAAGGAAACTCTACCCACCCTTAGCCTGGTCAACAGTGATTATGTGACCAGTGCACAGAATGATTACTGCCCTTTGCTAAATATTCAAAGTAAGGTAGCTACAGCTAACAGTAACAAGTCTTATAAGAATGCTAGCCGGGCATGGTGGTGCACACCTTTAACCCCAGCACCTGGGAGGCAGAGGCAGGCGGATCTCTGTGAGTTTGAGGCTAGCCTGGTCTACAGGACAGCCAGGGCTGTTACACAGAGAAACCTTATCTTAAAACACAAAACAAACCCACCACAACGAAAGAATACTAATTAACAAACTGACATCCTCTTTCCCCCAAAGCTCAGTCCCATCTCATCCCAGGCCCAATCCTCACCCTTACCTGGATCATGCTCACTAGCTGGAGACTTTCCTTCCGCATCTTATCTTGTCTCTGCTTCTCCGGGTCTCCGCAGGAGCCAGGCAGGGAAGCGCTGAGGTGTTGCGGGGACCCAGGCTTTGGGAGCTCCTTTTCCAAAGAGCTGGCATAGGGTCGGACGGCGTGCTGTCCTGAGACGGGGTTGCGGGTCCGGTTGCAAACAGCACACACCCAGGCAGGGCCCGAGTTGCAAAAGGTACAGTGATCGCAGTACCACTCTTCAGACTGGGCAGATGAGAGAAAAACATCCCCCTGACGGAAAGGTAGAGAGAGTTATCCTATGGACTGTGTGACCAGTGGCTAAGGTTCACAGAGAAACCAAAGACAAGCGGTACGATCGAGAGAATGGCCTGAGGCCAACAGATGTAAACAAAGAGCTGGGCAGGCCGGCCGGAACAGGTTACCTGGAGGGACTGGTGACCAACACCAGAGTCGTGGGAATCCACCACCAAGCTGGGAGGCTGGGCCAGCCGAGGTCGCTCACATATGGCACACAGCACAGCCGCTGCCTCATTCTCAAAGGTACAGCTCTGGCAGGCCCACTGATCCCGTGCAGGCTCAGGTTCGAGGCCCCCAGTTCCTTGGGAACCCTCTGTTCCCAGCACCTTACAGCCTCTGGGCTGACGACAGGCTGCACAGAGCACTGCCCAAGGCTCGTTTAGCGTGACGCAGGTAGCACAGTGCCAGGGCAGACAAGCATTTGCAGTTTCAGGGGAAGAAAGGGAGCTGTCCCCCAGAGGCAGGGACGCTGAGTGGGGCGGTGGCTGGGACGAGGCAGGTAAACTGTAAGAGAAAAGCAGACATGGCCAGCTGAGGTAGAAGTCAGTACCCAAGTCCCCTCACCCCTGTGAACCTCACACTGCCTAGGTTATGATATGCAGCTCTGACCTCTGTGATTGCTGCTCTGTCTAGAATACTCTCATACCTATAGATGACTCAATATTTAAATGATAGATTATAGCTAACTTCTTCCGGGTAGCAGCTCTCTCTTTTTTTCATTTTTAAAAAAAGATTTATTTAGTTAGCTAGTTATTTACTTATTTATTATGTGTACAGTGTTCTGCCTGTATGTCTGCCTGTAGACCAGAAGAGGGCACCAGATCTCATTACCGAGGATAGTAGTGAGCCACTATACGGTTGCTGGGAATTGAACTCAGGACCTCTGGAAGGGCAGCCAGTGCTCTTAACCACTGGGCCATCTCTCCAGCCTCAGGTGGCATCTCTTAACATAGTTCCTTAATCTTATCACGCTAGATGTTTATAATACTGACTGACTGAGATTACCTATCTGTGTATCACAGCAATCTCCCTATCATGACTGTCATTTGCTTAGTGTTTATGTCTATAATTTCCTTGAGGGCTACACTGGCTGTTCTCTATGAAACAGCCTTGAATAGAGAACCTGGCATATAGTAGACACTCAAGTAATCTTCAATTTTCTTAATTTCACTCTCACACAGAAAAGAAAGCCTCTCACCTAGAGTTTAGGTTGATGGTTTGGTGGGCCCCGGGCAGGGTTTGGCGAAGGTGATGAGCACGGGACGGATGTCCATGGAATAAAAGGTCACAAGCTGGGCATGAGGTTTGATTACAGGCTGGACAGTGCAGTGTGCCTGGGGCAGAACCACAGAGAAAGCAGGGACCAGGAGTGGAGCCTAAAAAAAAAAATCAAAACAAAAGGATGAAACTTAAAAATTCACATACCAATAAATAAATAAGTGTATATATATACTATAGCCAAGACAGGAAGTCATACTATGTACCTATCAACAGACGAAAGAAGAAAACAGGTTACACTTAATAAGTAGCTTATATTAACACACACATACCAGAGTATTAGTCACAAAGGACAAAATCTTGTTACAGGAAAAAAAAAACATGAAACTGGAGGATACCATATTGAGCAAAACAAGCCAGACACAGAAAGACAAATATTATCTTTATCTACCCCCGGTCCCACCCCAAAATGTAGCTCTGGCTAGCTTGCAACTCACGACTGGCCTCAAACTCAGAGACCTGCCTGCCTCTGCCTCCCAAGTACTAGTATCAAAGATGTGTTAGGAACTGGAGTTGGGAATGGCTGTGAATCACCATGTGGGTGCTGGGAATTGAATCCAGGTCCTTTGTAAGAGCAACAGGTACTCTTAACTATTGAGTCATCATCTCTCCAGCCCTCAGAGTCACTTTCTTAAGAAGGCCAGGTTACGAAGCTGAAGAAATGGCGTAGCAGTTCACATCAAGTACTGCTCTTGCAAAGGAGCCAAGTCTGACGCCCAGCACTCCTGTTGGGCAGCTCAGCCCTGTGCAACTCCAGCTCTGGGGGGATCAGTTGCCCCTGGCTTCCATGGGCACCTACCTGCACATACAGGCACATGGACACACACCACACTCGCGCACGCGGGAGGAGTTGGGGTGTGGGGGTGTGTGGTGGTGGTGAAGGGGACCTTTAATTTTTTTTTTCAATAAAATACAAATACAAGAAGACAGAAGACCTAAATTCTCATCAATCTAATCTAATCCTCTCATACAGGACCAATCATACCTGGGGCAGGGGGAAGGGGGCCAGGAACAATCTCTCTCAAAAGGGGGTGAAACTCTGAAAGCTGCAGCATCTGAGGGAGAAAGCAGAGAATGGACAAGTGTTTGGGGCACAGAATCCCATAAATACAGTCCCCTTTATTTAACAGCACCCTCGCTGCTTTCCTTACATCATCTTCAACGCTGTCTTTTAGCAGCTGGTCCAGTGCCTTCTGTCTTGGGTGAGTATTCTGCAAACAAGAGTAAAAGAATTCCCACCTTGAGCCAAGTTCACCTTGCAAGCCCTGATCCCCTAACACTCAGAGGGAGAAAGGGTAGCAGAAGCTCCCGGGCTGCTGCAGCAACAGAATTTACCAGCATGGGGGTTTTCAAAGTGCCTTGAACTAGGTTGGGCCCCCAGTCTAGTACTTAAGGACCTTAGGCTCAGAAGGCCATCTCACCTGCAACAGCAAGCTGAGCTCCGTGCGAAGCAGTAGTACTTCTAGTGTGACTATGGCAACCTGGTACTCGTCCGGCTCCTCCTGCCCTTCAGGGAAACTCAATCCATCCGGGCGCTCCTCCGTATAGCCATACAACCGCAGCACATCCCGGCCCCCCTGCCACACATTCAGGACCCGGTCACCACCCAGCAGGCCTCCTGGGCAATACAGCTGGTTCCCCCACTCAGCACACCCTCAAGTCCCTTCTGGTCAACCCCCAGCATAGGTCTAGTCCCCTTCTCCACTAGGGCCCAAGGGTTTCACCTGCACAGCATCCACCGTGCTGCGAAAGACAGGATTATTGAACTTCACGGAGCGCCAGTACCGAGGGCGCTGTGGGCTGAGGAGGTTGCGACCATATTTTTCCAGGATGTTCAGGGCCGTGGACAGAGTGTTGAGGTAGTTTCGGGGCTAGGAGCAGTCAGAAGAGCAGAGTTACGAGTCTGAGCCCATCCGGCCTCTGAGCCTAGGTCCCCCTTCCACGGCGTGCCCGGGCGGACTTGGCCTCACCTCCCCACGAGCGTTGCAGCGGACCAGGCGTCCGGCGTCCAGTTGCAGGTAGCGGGCGGCCGGCGGCAGAGAGGTGGCCAGAAGCGGCGTGAGCTGCTCCAGGGGAAACACCTGCGCGGAATCCCGCCTCAAGGCGCTCGCCAGCTCCTCGCGGGCCGCCAGGAAGGCCCGCTCCTCCTCCGCCGGCATCCCGAGAGCGGGGACAGGCTCAGCTCCGCTGTCCACCCGGGCACGGGCGCGGGCCGCGGGGCGCAGGGGCGCGCGGCGCCCCAGCAGCCGAGGTCACTCAAAGCCACCGCCCCGCTCAGCCCCGGGCAGCGGCCAGGGAACAGGAAGTACTGGCAGAGAGGGCGGGCCTGCGGACCGCGTTAGAGGAAGGGGCGGGATCAGAGTGATGGAAGGGGCGGAATCCGGAAGGGGTGGGGCCAGGTTGCCGCCAATGAGGAAGCCGCGGCCCCGGCCCCGCCCCCAGGGCGACGGAACCTCTTCCCCCTGGCCAAGCCCTCCGCCCGCCCTGGGGCTCTCCCCGCCCCCGCGTGGGGTTGGTCTTGTTTTGCCCAAAGCGTTCCTTATCTTTATTTCCACGATGTTGCTCAGGTCCAGTCCCCACCGGGGAAGCCCCACCTTACCGGGGACCCAACTCTGGCCGCCCTTAGCCCGGCTCAGGCGCGTCCCGCCTTCCTCCAGTCCGTCCCGAAGGCAAGGCCGCCCCTCTCCCCTGCTCCCTTCCATCCTGCCAGGCTGCCCCCTCTTCCGATCCTCCCTACTCTCCCGGATCCCACTCGGTCCCCTCCTTAAAGGCTAGCCTCAGGAAGCCCCACCCCCGGGCGCCCCCTTTCTGATTGTCCCACTCTCCTCCCCGTCCAGCGCCTCCCCTGGACGGCCCTCGGTGCAAGCTCCGCCCTTCTCCCCGAGGCCGCCGCTGCGGCCCGGCCTCCGCTGTCCCACGCCCCCCTAGCCCCTCCCTCGGACATCCCCTCGGCTGGTGATGAGGCCAACGCCGCCCTTCCCAGGGGCCACTGGTTGGGAATGGCTGAAGGAGGACTATTGACTGTTGGTGGCCTGCCAGGAGGAGGGGGAACCGAGGGAGGGGGCGTGGCTGAGGGGGGTGGGTCTGGGCCTGGAGAGTGAAAGCGAAAGCTGGGGCGGCGAGCCCCGAGAGTCGAAGAGCTAGCAAGTGGGGAAGCATGGCCAAGCCTTGTGGGGTTCGCCTGAGTGGAGAAGCCCGTAAACAGGTAAATGGGAACCGGGGGCCAGGAAGAGGTGGGGAGTCCCGACGGAGATAAAACTGGGTGCTCCTGGGCACCGAGGCCCCTCGTGAGAACTCCCCCGACCGACCTATCTTTAGGGCATTCACTTCTGCTCAGGGGTTACCACTGCCCTGTCCTCTCGCCAGTCTGTGCACTCAGCAGGGTCTTCCAGGGGAAACTGGCATGGTGGGACAGGCTTGAGCCACAGTTGGGGGGCACCCGGCTGCGGGGGTGGGGTGGGCTCTTAGTCTTTACAACCGAACCCCCTAACCCACGTCTGCTTGCTGCTGTCTGCAGGTGGATGTCTTCAGACAAAATCTTTTCCAGGAGGTAAGTCTTTGGGTCCAAGCGATTCGACCCAGAATCCTAGCGCTCTACTCTAAGAGCCACAACCCTTGAGAAAGCCCCAATTCACTCCAGTTTTGGTCTCTCCTAACCCTCATGCTTACTCGAGGTGATCGCTAATTGGTTTCTACTCGTAATCTGATCGCTCTTAGAACTCTCCCTGCCTTTGCCGCTTCCCCACCCTCTTGTGACCGAGAGGGAAAGGTGGTGCCCAGGGTACCCACAGCCCTTCTCAGGATGGGCGAGCCCCTTTGATTCCACGTCGGCAGTTTCCTCATTTGTGAGTCTGGGACTCGGTAGTTTCTAAGGGCCTGCTTCCCAAACATCTCATCGGACATCTTGTGTGATCGTTTTTTGTAATGTTAAACTCACAGGCCGATGACTTCCTCTCTACGTTCTTGCCACGGAAAATCATATCCCTGAGTCAGCTCCTGCAGGTGAGTAGTAGTAAGACTCGTCTCCCCCATCTCCTGGCCTCTCTCCCACCACCTATCTTTAGACAGCTAGTACTGGCTGGCTGGGAACTCAGGCCGGTACAAAGCTTGAGCCTAGGTTGGGAGGGAGAGAGGAGATGGACCCCGAGAAGGGAATGGAGGGAAGGCTGTGGCTGATGAGGGGAGGAGACTGGGCAGTGCCTAAGAATAAACTCTGCAGGAGGATTCCCTCAATGTGGCTGACCTCTCCTCCCTCCGGGCTCCTCTGGACATCCCCATCCCAGATCCCCCACCCAAGGATGATGAGGTAAGGCATTCAGCGTGCAGAGGGTGGACTATAAGCCATTGGAAATGACACCACTGTGGCCTCCGTGAGTCTCCTAAAGCTGCTTTTCCCCCTTTTGCCTTAGATGGAAACAGACAAGCAGGAGAAGAAGGAAGGTAATGGAGAACTGGGGGACTGAGGGGGGCATGGGTGCACTGATGTGGAGCAACAAAAAAGCCGTCTTTTTCATCTGTCTCCCTCGTTTCATAGTCCCTAAGTGCGGCTTCCTCCCCGGGAATGAGAAGCTCCTGGCCCTGCTTGCTCTGGTGAAGCCAGAAGTCTGGACTCTCAAAGAGAAATGCATTCTGGTAAGCCTGGGAACTGGAGGAGGTGGGAAGAAAAGCAAGGCAAAGCTATGGTCACTTCAGATATTTCACCTAGAGACCCGGTTTTGAATAAGGGAACTTTGTTCTGTGTCTTGGATTTATATATGTTTTTTAGTTGTGTGTGTGTGCACACAGGCATGTGTAGGTGTGTTTTCCATTGCATGCATATTTGAAGGCCAGAGGTCAGTACTTGGAGGGTGTTTGGGTTTTTTTGAAGCATGGCCTCGCTGAACCCGGAGCCTGCTGTCTTAGCTATGCTGGCTCACCAGGGAGCCTCCAGGATCTGCCTGTGTCACCATCACACACTGCTCCCCCAGCACTGGGCTTGCACTGCACGCCACTGTGCCCGGCTTATGTGTGTGCTCACAGTTGGACTACAGGTCCTCGTGTATTTGTGTGCACTGCAAGCATTTTGCCCACTCTCCTCCCCTTTGGGTGTAGATAGTCTTTGTTTTTCTCATTGGTTTGACGTCCGTCTGGTATCACAATGGTAGCTCTAAAATAAAGGACTGTGCTGTAGCTACCTCTGTAACCTCAGAACTTGTCATATTAGGTACACAGTATAGGTGATGTGATACAGTGAGTTGGTTTAAAAGCTTGAGCCCTAGAAAGAATCTAGATTCAAATCCTGATTCTGTCATTTACATAGGTCTCTTAGACATTCTGTGATTCCCTTGTTTCCTGTGTCAAATGGTACAGTAAGACTGAAGGCTTTGAAAGCTTGCCAATAATTAGATGAGATCAATAACTTACGGTATGACACCTAGCATGTAATAAGTGCTCAGTTAGACGTAGCTGTTATTAAGAAGTAGCATAATGGGGGGGCAGAGGCAGAAGGAGCCTGTGAGGTCAAGGCCAGCCTGGTCTATATATGGAGCTCCAAGACATCCAGGACTACATAGAGAAACCCTGTCTCAACAAAAGAATCTTCCACCTTCCTTTGTAAGAGAGAGATGGCTCAGAGGTTAAGAGCACTGGCTGCTTTTCCAGAGGACCCAGGTTTGATTCCCAGCAACCACATGGCAGCTCATAACTGTCTGTAACTCCAGTTCCAGGGGATCTGACACCCTTTTTTTTGGCCTATGTGGGTACCAGGAATGCACGTGGTGCATAGATATACATGAAGCCAAAATACTCATACACATAAAAAATAAAATAATGAAAAAATAATTTTTTAAAAAGTGGCATAAAAAGAATCCAGTAGGTTTGTTCAATGAGTGCTCCTTTTAACATAGATAATCACCTGGATCCAGCACCTGATCCCCAAGATTGAGGATGGAAATGATTTTGGGGTGGCAATTCAGGTAAGAGTTGGTGACTGAAGACCGAGTGGGAAGAGACTGGGGAGTGAGGGATGGAGCAAGGCATGGAACAGGAGGTAGGAGGAAGAGGGAATGGTAAAGGGCGGAGATGAAGTGTTCTCTTCCCTTCTCGTGTCCCTATAGGAGAAGGTGCTGGAGCGAGTGAATGCCGTCAAGACCAAAGTAGAAGCCTTCCAGACAACCATTTCCAAGTGAGAGCAGCTACAAGACCACAGGGACCCTACAGGGACGTTCCTGTAGGAGTCTCAAGCTAGGCAGTTCTGTCAGAACGGTAGGGGTGGTCTGTGTGCGTGTACATCTCCTTTAACGCACACGTTCCTTACTTACAGGTACTTCTCGGAACGTGGGGATGCTGTAGCCAAGGCCTCCAAGGAGACCCATGTAGTGAGTGCAGAGTCTACCGTTTAGCTGAGGCTGGCCTGGGGTGGGGAGAAGAGGTCCTGTTTGTTTTGTTTTTGACTTGCACCATGTGGAAAATATTATTCTGAAAAGCAAAACTGGTTAGGGCTCCAACATCCTTGACCTTCTCTTTACTTAATTCTGTGTTTGTTGGTGCTGTCACGGGGCTTATCTTCCAGTTAATCTCTCTTCTCTGAATGAGAAAACAAGATTACTGTCCTGACCTCCCCTGGTGCTGACTCAGTTTGCTTCCTGCTCCCCAGATGGATTACCGGGCCTTGGTGCATGAGCGAGATGAAGCAGCCTATGGGGAACTCAGGGCCATGGTGCTAGACCTGAGGGCCTTCTACGTGAGTGTGGGGTGAGCTCCTGAGGGAAGTGGATGGAAGGGTGTGGGAAGCCAAGAATCTAACTTTGTTCTTCTGGCCTTCCTCCAGGCTGAGCTTTATCATATCATCAGCAGCAACCTAGAGAAAATCGTCAACCCGAAGGGTGAAGAGAAGCCGTCCATGTACTGAGCTAAGGACTAGAAGGAAAATAAATGACTTATACTTGATAGATTCCCTCTGTTGTTCGTTCAGAGCATTTATTGTGCCCCCTCTGTCAGTACACCAAGGAAACTGGATCTGGTAATGAAGAGGGGAGAGGGTTGGCTGGAGGGATGGCACTTAGCTGTTCTTCCAGAGGACCCAGGCTAGCTGCCCAGCACCCACAAAGTGGCTAATAACTGTCTGTAACTCCAGTTCCAAGGGGTCTGACACCCTCCTTTGACCTCTGTGGCACCAGATACGCACATAATACATAGATACACATGCAAGCAAACCACCCTTACTCATAAAATAAAAACAAAAAATTAAAAAGAAAATGGGAGAGGGTGCCAGGAAAGTGAGGTTGCGCGTGAGGCCCATTGTGTTCCTTCTAAAGAACAGGGTAGAGCAGGGCATGGGTGGCACACCTTCAATTTCAACACTCAGGAGGCAGAGGTAGGTAGACCTCTGAGTTCAGGGCCACCCTGGTCTACATAGCAAGTTGAAAAGGAACAGGGTAGAAGTTTGCGTGCCTTGTCAGCCATGCAGGTAACCTGTAGTTTGGAATACCACGAAGGTATTTCCATCTCATTTCAGGAGGGCTTCATGGTAAAAGGGTATTTGGGCAAAGCCTTTGGAGGAGGAATTGGCTTTGGATAGATAGGGAAGCTTAATGGCTATGGTGTGGGAATTCAGAACAGTTGTGGAGCTGGGAGCAAGGTTGGAGAGAAAATGAGGTTATTTTGAGATTTCTCAGTCCTGGCGGAGAGGAAAGGTCTTTTAAAAGGCATTAAGGGAGAACATAGCACCACCGGTGGGCATTATTGGGGCGGGAAGTTGCCTTTCTATCTCTTGCCCACTCCCCCAATCAGTTTCTGTCTTTACATCTGTTGTGTTTTTCTTCTTACTGTTGTGTGTGTGTGCGTCTGTGTGTGTCTGTGTATGTCTGAACGTATCCCACATGTGTGCTGGTGTCCATGAAGGCCTGAGGAGGGTGCTGGATCCCCTGAAAGCCGGAATTCACAGGCAGTTGTGAGCCACCTGCTGTGGGTGCTGGAAACAAGTTGAATGTGACAGCTGAGTCATCTCTGCAGCCAAGTTCCTGAGACCGTTTCTGTTTGGTTTTTAGACAAGCTGAGGCCTAGGCTGGCCTCAAACACACCATGTAGCTGATGCTAACTTTGAACTCTTCCTCCTGGCTCCACCCTCTGGGTGGTGGGATTGCAGTATAGGATTCACTTCTGAGGTGGTGGAGACATTGGTTCCTCTGCTGGGTGGCTTGTTATAGACACCAAGGGACTTTTAAATTCAGGCTCTTGGCCTGTTTTAAAATATGTCAAAAGAATGTGCTGCGTTCTTGTTGGTTTGGCAGTTGGAGTTCAGTGCTCATGTATTACTTATCTATCCTTAAAGGGTCATGGACTTGTACTCTGCCTTAAAGGTGCTGCACTACGTTAAGGAAGCCAAAGGCCGGCCAGAGTTTGAGGTTGGGAAGGTGAGGCTGCTGTTTTATCTATGGTGCAGACCCACTCTTTCTATAGTTGGAGCAAGGCGAACGGTTTTGTCTCCAAGGTTCTCTGAAACACCCAGCTAGCGGCCAGCCCTCCACCTAGCTGTCTTTGCCAGAAGCCAGTAGGAACAGGCAGAGCAGGTAAACAGCCCACCTGCAGTAACCGGCCCAAGTTGGAACTAGATGAGGTGTCTCAGGGTCTGTTAAACCTAGGGCTTTCAGTTGAGAGATGGAGGCCAGCCTGGGCTAACTGAGACTTTGTGTGTCCTCCCTCTTAACAAAACAAAACCCAAAGCATAAACCGGGTAGTTCAGCTAATAAGCCTGTGGGCAATTTTCTTTCCTTTGCCCTAATGCGTTCTTTCCAGTTCGCTGTAGGCCAAAGCAAGCCAAGACAAATTTTAAAATCTTAGATTGGACAAAATGAGAGCGTCTTGTCCTATCAGAGAGCACGACGGAGGCGGGACTCTTGGCTAGGGTCTGACTCGGAGCCGGTTGGCGAGCAAGTGCGCCTGCCCGGGAGTGGTTAGAGGAGGCGGGGCTCAGCTCCTCGGGCTGTGTTTGGACCGAATATTGGCTCGTGTTGGGGTAGGCTGTACCGAGAGCTCGCCTGGTGTTCCAGGCATCTTACACCCGAGTGAGGAGGTGCAGGGCAAGGCCAAGCTCGCTTGCCGTGCGGGGGAAGCCACACTGGTTGGGGTTCTGCGGGCCCCCCGGCCCCGTTCGCTATGGGGGAGGTGGAGATTTCCGCCCGGGCCTACGGGAAGATGTGCCTGCACGCCTCTCGGTACCCGTACGCTGCTGTCAACGGGTTGTTGCTGGCTCCCGCGCCGCGGTCGGGAGAATGCCTCTGCCTCACCGACTGTGTGCCCCTCTTCCACAGCCACCTGGCCCTGTCCGTCATGCTGGAGGTGGCGCTCAACCAGGTGTGGCCTGGAGAACCCCGCCCCATCCCCACTCACCGCCCCCCACAACCCGTTAGGACCCTCAGCCTAAATGCGTGCTCCACCCCTTGGCTGCAGTATGCACCCACGGAGCCAGGAGCATGATTTAGCTACTGATGGCCCCTTTCTCACGACAGGTGGACGTGTGGGGCGCACAGGCCGGTCTGGTGGTAGCTGGGTACTACCACGCCAATGCTGCTCTGGACGACCAGAGGTGAGTCGGAGAGCTGGGGCCGGAAAGGCAGGTGATTGTGGCCGGTGTGGGTGAGGTGCAGCTGGACCAGCGTCATCCCTTTTATTTTTATTTTTTCATCAAGTACTTAGCAGCGGGGCTATACACCAGGCGTTGTACTGAGTACTGGAGTGAGGAGATACCAGAGAGGAGTATGACAGGGTGGAAGGACTCCGCAGTGGGGGTGGGACAGACAGCTGTCTGTCAACATAACAGACAGATCTTGACTGAGGGGCTTTCCAAGGTGCTGTAAGAACGGAGGAAGTGCGACCAGCAACTTAAAAAGCCCACCACTTTAAACCAGGCGGCGATGGCGCACGCCTTTCATCCCAGCACGCTGGGGGACCGAGGTAGGCAAATCTCAGTGAGTTCCAGGACAGCCTGGTGTACAGAGGGAGATCCAGGACAGCCAGGAATACACAGAGAAACCCTGCCTCGAAAAACTATTATGATGATGATGATGACGACGACGAGACAAGAAAAAAAGCCCACCACTTATACATATATACTGCACACACCAAGTATATTTGATTTTGATATGAATTAAGTTAGATCTATTGTAATTTGCTTCCCCTCCCCGGACTTTTGATGTCTTTCCATCTCAAGATCTACCTCATCCTAACAGCTGAATAGTATGAATGTGAACACATCATAATTTAATACTATACACATTGAAGTTATCTCCAGTTGTGTGTGTGTGTGTGTGTGTGTGTGTGTGTGTGTGTGTGTGTGTTTTGTTTTTCAAGACAGGGTTTCTCTGTGTAGCTCTCTTGGAATTCACTCTGTAGACCAGGCTAGCCTCGAACTCAGAGATCCACCTGCCTCTATCTCCTGAGTGCTGGGATTAAAGGTGTGAGCCACCACAACCAGCTAAAAATAATGTTTTGTTTTGATTTTTTTAGAGGAAAGGAAAAAAAGATACGTTTAATATGGCCATACTAGAAAGAGGACAAAGAGATCCAACGAGACACAGCTACTTTCCCCAAGTCTGTCTTCTGGGTCACAAAGAGATTAAAGTTTCAAGTTTAAGTAGAGAGACAAGTTTATGCATATCTAAGCAGTCAGGAGCAAGGTTCAGATTTGCCCCGTAAGGCCACCTGAGAAGTTGTTAGAGCCCTGAGACGTCTCTTGAAGCTGTGTGTGTGCAGTAGGAAGGTGGGAGGGTCTCTGAAGGCCACCATTATAAGTGTCACTTAGGTCTGTTTTGATCACAGTGGCCGGATGACTCGGGAAATCAGGGTCACTAATCATTAACAAAATCGTTTTGAAAACTCAAGGACAGTTTTATTCGAGTTGAAAAGACCCAGAGCAAGCAAACTACTTTCAAGTCATACCCTCTAACCCAGCATGGAGGCCACACTCGTCGCAGAGAAGCAGCGAGTGTTGAGCTGTGGAGAAAGAGAAAGGAAGCCCAAGATATCAGGAAGAAGCACACTTAGGTTCTGACCAGCATCCACAAGAAACAGCAAAAAGTTTCGCGGTTCTAACTCAGGCCTCAGAGAGTTGGGCAGACCCAGCCAAACCTCATGGTGGCTCCTGGGGACTGCCTAAATTATTTTAAGTCAGCACATAAAGAAATTGGTTCCGCTGTGGCATTTTCAGACATACTTTCTTTGTTTGTTTTTCAAGGCAGGGTTTCTCTGTGCAGCCTTGGCTGCCCAGGATCTCGCTCTGTAGACCAGGCTGGCTTTAAACTCACAGAGATCCCCGATCTGCCTCTGTCTCTCCAGTGCTGGGACTAAAGGCGTGCGCCACCCAGATCATGCTTTATTCTTTTGTTTTGTTTTTCGAGACAGGGTTTCTCTGTGTAGTTTTGGTGCCTTGCCTGGAACTCACTTTGGAGACCAGGCTGGACTCGAACTCACAGAGATCCACCTGGCTCTGCCTCCCGAGTGCTGGAATTAAAGACGTGCGCCACCACCACCCAGCCCACATTTTATTCTTTTAATTTTAATGTGGATTGGTTTGCCTGCATGTATGTCTGTGTGAGGGTGCTGGATCTCCTGGAACTGGAGTTACAGACAGTTGTGAGTTGCCATGTGGGTGCTGGGAATTGAACCCAGGTCCTCTGGAAGAACAGCCAGTGCTCTTAACCTCTGAGCCATCTCTCCAGCCCCATATTTTATTTTTTGTTTGTTTGTTTTTCAAGACAGTTTTCTCTGTGTAGCTTTGGAGCCTGTCCTGGAATTGGCCTTGAACTCAGAGATCCGCCTGCCTCTGCCTCCCGAGCGCTAAGATTAAAAGCATGCACCACCACCGCCCAACCCATATTTTATTCTTAATTCTTCCCCCTAGTACCCTACCCTGTTCCTCTTTCCTACTTTTGCTGGTCCCTATCATCCCA